ACTCTATGCTCAGCGTCTTACACAGTGTCTGGGACAGTATATGCACCCAGTAAATAGAACAAACTGTCTTAGCATTGAATAAAAGAGTTACATGAATGTAGAACACAGGTGGGTCTCAGAGCACACCAAATGGCCAGTGGCTGGTAAGAAACAGGTTCAAACAAATTTAGACTCTTCATATTGCGCTGAACGTTCCACATTCTGACTAAACACAACAGTCAACTAGCAAAACAGTACTCCAGTGAATAAATACAGGGTGTGGGGAGTAGGCAGAGCCCGTGGACATCAGCACATTACTTCCTCACTCTATGCCATGGGTTCGGTTCACAGTGAGCCAGTTTTAGTAACAACATGGACTATAAAAGGCTATACGACAGAATTACAAGTGCCCAATGGTATGCTTAATGGCTATAATGGCTTGCTGTGTATTCCTTGGGAACACAGCCAAGTGTTCATGAACACTACTAAGAAAAACAAAAATCTAGTAATCAGACAGATGGATAGATGGACAAACAGATGAATGACAGAGCAATTCTCAGTGTAAATACATTGGAATAGGAGTTCTAAGACATGGGAGATTCCAGGCCTGGCTCTTCTATGAAATGGCTTTGTGATCACAGGCAAGTCACCTACCTTCCCTGTGCCTGAGTTTCTCATTGTAAAATGAAATGACTGTCTTTAAAGTCTTTAGTTCTTCAAATGGACTGCTCTTCCAGGTTACCACACAGACCTGTGACACTCTTGTTCTTATATGTTGCCTAGCTAACCTGCGTTCATTCTTCAAGCCTAACCTTAGTCATCCTTTCCTTGAGGAGGCTTTTGAATCCCTAAACTAAGTATGCCCAAAAAGCCCTATAGATGCCTTTCCTAAAAGCTTAGCACGCTGCTGTTGTTAGTTGCCGTTGAGCCATCTCCGACTCACAGTGACCCTGTACCCAGCAGAAGGAAACACTGCCTTGTCCTGTGCCAGCCCCATGACGAGGCATTTCATGGAGGGCCCTCCCCCTCTTCGCTGACCCTCCACGAAGTATGCTCAGCATACTTACAATCATTTAAACTCCGTCTACCCAACAAACCTGCAAGCTCTTCAAGGAAGAGACTGTAACTTGCTTGGCAACTACTTTATCCCCAACATCAAAGAACCTGACATATGTTAAGTACATTGTAGTCGATAATTAATTTGCTACAAGAATGAATTAAATACCTACACATAAAAAATTTAGGACTTAGGAGGCCATCATCATCAGCTTAATCTAACTGTTGCTTTTAATTACCGTATCTTCTAAGACACATTTTCCTACTGACAAATAAATTAATACATTTGACAATAAATCTTCCTATGAAGCTTTCTAATATACAAAAATTATATTAGAAATATATATTTATATATTTATTATATATATTGTTGTTGTTGTTGTTAAGTGCCGTCGAGTTGGCCCCGACTCATAGCGACCCCTCCTTGGGTTTCCAAGGCGGTATCACTATGGAAGTAGATTGCCCAACCTTCCTTCTGAGGAGTGGCTGGTGGGTTTGAACAGCCAGCCTTCTGGTTAGCAGTCAAATGCCTTAGGTACTACTCTACCAGAGCTCCTATATTATATAAATAAATAAATAAATAGTATAATCCACACAATTATCTGTAAGTTAGTTCTTTTTACTGGTTATTGTTGTTAGGTGTCACTGGAGTCACATTATATGACTAAGAAATTAAAAAATCTCCTTAAGTAAATGAAAACTCTTACCACTTACAAATCAGACTCAAAAGAACAGGTAAGAAACCTACAATCCAAGCATCAGTTGGAAACCCTACGGGGCAGTTCTCTGTCCTTCAGGGTTGCTATGAATTAGAATCGAATCAATGGCAATGCTTTTCAGCTTTTTGATCTCACCCAGCCTGTGGGTGCTATTCCGTATGCCTCCAAAAGTACTACAGCTGACCAGATTCAGGATGCATTAACCAACAGGCTCATCACACGCAAGATTCCTCAAAGACAAAAGTTCCGTAACTTTACTGGAGTGGCAGTTCCAGAAAGGCAAAACCAGATTCTAATCAGTAAGACTGTCAGGTGCCACTGAGCAGTTCTGACTGATAGCGACCTCACGTACAACAGATTGAGACACTGCCTGGTCCTGCACCATCCTCACAATCGTTGCTATGTTTAAGCCCATTGTTACAGCCTCTATGTCAGTGCATCTCATTGAGGGTCTTCCTCTTTCTCCCTGACCCTCCACTTTACTGAACATGGTGTCCTTCTCCAGGAACTGCTCCCTCCTGATAACATGTCTCATCATTATCACTTCTAAGGAGCACTCTGGTTGTCCTTATTCCAAGACAGGTTTTTTCATTTTTCTGGCAATCCATGGTATACTTAAAATTCTCTGTCAACATCATAATTCAAATGCATCAATTCTTTTTCAGTCTTCATTACTCACTGTCTAGCTTTTGCATGCATGTGAAGCAACTAAAAATACCATGGCTTGGGCCAGGCAAACCTTAGCCCTCAAAGTGACATCTTTGTTTCTTTAAATTTTAAAGAGGCCTTTTGCAGCAGATTTGCCCAATGCAATGTATCATTTGAGTTCCTGACTGCTGTTTCCATGGGTGTTCATTGTGAATCCAAGTAAAATGATATCCTTGACTTTAATATTTTCTCCATTTATCATAATATTGCTTATCAGTACAGCTGTGACAATTTCTGTTTTCTTTATGTTAAGGTACAATCCATACCAAAGACTGTAGTCTTTAATCTTCACCAGTAAATGCTTCAAGTCCTCTTCACTTTCAGCAAGCAAGGTTGCCCTATGCACTAACCTGTGATATGCAGATGACACAACCTTGCTTGCTGAAAATGAAGACGACTTGAAATACTTGTCGATGAAGATCAAAGACTGCAGCCTTCAATATGAATTATAGCTTAACACAGTGAAAACAAAAATCTTTACTAACTGGAGCAATAAGTAACATCAATAAGATCAGCAGGAGTAAAAAGAGGCAGGTAAACAACAAAACTCACAGAAGCAAGAAGTACCCTCTGATTAGGAAAAAGGCGGAGCTGACAGAAGGAGACAGAAGCTCTGGCGCATAGTCATCATGACGAAGCAGCTCCAGGTAATGGTCATGCGTGGGGACTAGCTTGGGAAAAAGGAGGAGGAGCTGCTGAGGTTCAGCCAGAGACCCAAACTGAGCTCTCTCTCCTTTTTGTGTCCAGGAACCCTAGACTTCCCTCTTGGCTTTGGAAAAAAGCTAGTCTCTTGAGTAACATGTAGCCCACTGGTGCCAGTATCCCTGGACCTGCTGTTGCTGTTGTTATGTGCCATCAAGTTGGCCCCAACTCATAGCGACCCCTCCTTGGGTTTCCAAGGCAGTATCTGTACGGAAGTAGATTGCCCTACCTTCCTTCCTAGGAGTAGCTGGTGGGTTTGAACCGCCAGCCTCCGGGTTAGCAGTCAAGTGCCTCAGGCACTACGCTACCAGAGCTCCCTCCCTGGACCCAGAAAAACCAAAAAGCAAACCCACTGCCATCAAGTCAATTCCAACTCTTATGCCCCTATCAGACAGAATAGAACTGCCCCACAGGGTTTCCAAGGCTGTAAATCTTTATGGACGCAGATTGCCTCCTCTTTCTCCCTCACAGTGGCTCATGGGTTCAAAATGCTGACCTTTCGGTTAGCAGTCAAATGCTTTAACCACTGCCACCACCAGAGCTTCTTTTCCTGGACCTAGAGATCTTAGTAATTCTTGAGTTGCCACCATGTTTACTGCCCTTTCCAGATGCTGGATAAACCCTTCCTAAGTCTCCCGTGTCTAGATCTAGAGAGCCTTTGGAGCCTCAACAAACAGTAAAAGCATCATCATCAGTAAACACTTAGTGTTCTCTCTAAATTAATTTTTATACAAAAACACTTTACACTTCTTAAAGTTCCTCCTTCTGGGTCCTTCAGCCCACCTCACCAAATCTGAAGATTCTGACATCCCTAAGCATATTCACTTAAAGTCTCCCTCTGATTGATACCACATGAATATTACTTCAAACCCTTCGTAAGAAGTATTTTGAGAGGTCCTTACAATCTTGTTCTCTCTTATTGAAATAAAAATCTTGGTTGAATCAGTTTCTATCTACCTTTCCAACCATCTAGTCAGTACCTTCTGGTGTATCAGCCATTAATAATTAGCAGATAAACTGTGGTAAACTGTAGTCAATGTCATGAGACAAAGTGTATGTGAGCTGCTGTATGAAAAGTGAATTTGCTCTGTAAACTTTCACCCAAATCACAATAATAAAAAAAATTTAAAAAAAAAACCAAAAAACTATTAGCAGATAAGTATCCAAGAGGATCAAGGAAAATAGGAGCTCAGCATTACTCTACCGAGGCTGGTGGTGGCAGGAGGGAGAAGAGGAAGCAAACAAAAAGGTTAGTATCTCCCCACATGAATAACAAAGAACATTATTTCCTTTCACCAAATTATCTCTCCCCCCCCAAAAAACTGGCTAGAGCGAATGAATGAAGAATGATGACACAGATAGGAGCAGTTCTGAAAAACCAAAAGTTACTTCAAGACATAGGTAGGATTAAAAAATACAGGTTATTACGATTTCCAGTGTGTTCATGTAACTACACCTCAACTGTGGGTCCTTAGAAAGCCACAGAAATGAGGAAAAGAGAATGGTCACATGGCATCCAAGTCTTGCTGGCCAGACAGAACCATTACTCATCCTTCACAGTCCACCAGCATTACAATGGACTGAAAGATCTCGTTCAACTTCCTAGTTTTACAACTGAAGAATCTAAGGCCAAGAAAGGTTAAAGATTAAGACACTTGGCTAAGATCACAATTGGCCATTAGTTCATTAATGATTATTAAAAATTAATTTCTTATCTTCTCCTAAATTTTAATATTTTCAGAGAATTCCTACAGTTGAGCAGGGTCAACTGTTATTTCCAAAAAAGACAGCAAACAGAAAAAACGTCAAGTTGAGAAAGAAAACACAGAAACTTACCTCTGGGTCTGCTAGGCGCTGAGACAGACCTACAACAAAGACGAGGTTTTTTTGTACAACACGTACACTAGCCAAATGTTTGCGATTTTCTGATATTTTCTGTTTTCTCTCATTTTGTTTCTGTTTTTTCTCATTCTTTATCCTTTGCAGTTCTTCCTGGGAGAGTGGTTTATATACTGCTGGGTCTTCTGGATATGGCTTTAAGCATAAAATAAGCACAGATGTTAGCGTGAAAGACAGAGACAGAAAAACGGCAAGGATAACAACGATCAATTTCTGGACAGCAGGCATGTGGGGATTTGCTGTATTTTCTGCCCTTTCCATGAATGTCTTCATTACTTAAGACAATTTTTACTTAATAAAAATTAAGTGTTAAATGAAATTGTTTTAAAAATCCTTATTGTGTAGCCCTTAGCACAGACCAATACCCTGGGCAGTGCAAAGGGTTAACTGCTAACTACCAGCAGAGAGGCTGGAAGGTCGAACCCACCCAGAGTGCCTCAGAAGCCACACCTGGGGACCTGGTTCCAAAAGGTCACAGCCTCAAAAACTTTGTGGAGTGACTCTACACACATGGGGCATCAGGAGTCGGGACAGACTCCACAACAAGTACAGCACAAACTGTTAAAACTTTCATCACGAACTGTTTTGAAAAATACCTGTATTTATTCTATAGTTTAGGTGGATATAACTGTCCTTTATCTAGCTATGAATCCTAAGCTCCAGAAGACAAGGTCAAAGTCTCTCTCATTTTAGTAGTCCCTACAGTGTCTCAGCACGGTGCTTCTAAGGTGCCGTGTAAGAGGCAGAGAGTCTGAGTTCTCTCGTCTATATACAGGTTTATGTATTACAATCAACAGAAATTTAATGAAAACCTATGATACACTAGAAAATTAACAGTTAAAGTGCTAGTTCCTTAATACTTTTCCAGTCTAAGAGGAGAGAAATGGGCAAATAAATAACAGACACTTTGGCTCAAGAGTGCAATGCAGCCGTGTAGCCCTAGACAGGCTATTTCAATCCTATCCCTTAATATGAAAATCTTCTCAAAGGTTGGTGTAAAGATAAAAGATTGCCCATAAAGCAATTATGATAGCGTTTGGCATGTAGAAAGCCCTCAGTAAACACTAGCAATTATACTGCTCTGTGTCTTTATCTTTTCCTCTTCAAAATTACGATACCAATCTTCATTCCTACTGCTAATGCCAAGGCTGCTGGTGGTCTGAAGAAGGCTGTGGAGTCAGTTACACTGCCTGGTTTTCAATCTTGGATTGCCCTTTACTATCTGAGAGACCCTAGCTAAGTTATGTGAACTTTCTAGCTCAGTTTCATCTGTAAAATGGGAATCACAGGACTTAATTCATAGGGTCATGATGGGTAAGAGACAATATACTTATGAGGTAATTAAAACAGCCACCTGAACACACTTCCACAGTGATACCGCCTCGGAAACCCAAAGAGGGGTTGCTATGGGTCGGACCCAATTCGACGGCAGTGAGTTTGGTTTGGTTTTTGGTTCCTGAACACAAGCATTCAGTTAGTTAGCCGCTACTACTAATGAACAGTGTTAATGATAAATGGAAGATGGATATATTTAATGCAGGAATACCTAGAACCAAATCTGAAGAGATCTCGGGAACTGGAACTACAACTGATTGAGAAGTTGTACTATCAGAATATGAGAGTAGGGGCAACAGAAACAGGCCAACAAGAAAAAAGTGGGAACAGAGAAGAGGGGAGGAGACTGAAACCTTGCTACGCCTGTAACATAAAGTTACTTTTATTCTTTTCACATATAAATAAAAACAAAAACAAGTAAAAACCATTAAACTGTAAATACATCCAGACAATGCTGAAAGTGACTAAGACAGTGAGATTTGCCCTTGGGCTTCTCAACTTCTACTAGTGTCATTTTAACCAGGTCCGCTCTTGAAAAACCCCATTTTTTCCTTTCTTTGGTCTTCTTTCAATGTCAAGTTACTGTTCGAGAAGATCTTGTACTCTTCACAGTCTGTCCTATCACAATGAACTAGAGCCAATTACTTGAATGCAAGTATAACTCTTCACAGTCCTCCCAGATATGAGCCCTCATACAATTCCTACATAAAAATCATAATCTGAGAGATACCTGGTTTCTATTTCACACAAAACTTGTGAGTGGAAGACTGACTCACTAATTTCCCTGATGTCTGCATGCCCCCAGGATTCTCCAGGATCCAATATAAAGTTAGTAGACATTCTTCAGATCCATCCAGCAGCACGAGAGAAAGGCCTGGTGACCTGCTTCCATAAAGATGACAGCCTAGGAAACCCCATGGAGCAGTTCTACTCTGTCACACGGAGTCACTATGAGTTGGTACCTAACAACAAGGTGAGTATGTAACAATGGATTACATTGTTATCCTAGACTTTTTTCTTTGTTATTTCATGTTTTTCTATGGAAATATCCTTCCATCAGGTTTCAAAGTCCATTTTGCTGGCATATCTGCTACATAATGCAAAAAATACCAATACAAGAGAACAATGATATAAATTCTTTTGCCACCATTTAGCGCCTACAGTATTTCTTATTCGAGTAGCTTAAGGGAAGTTGTAAAAACTAGTTTTAAAATTTTAACATATTTTTGAAATTGTATCTCTGTTGTTAGGAAGAAATAAATTTTTCTGGACCATATAAAAATATGTTAATTTAAACTAAACACAAGTGGCAACTCTATAATCAAAGTCTTCTTGGCCTTAGCATGGTAACACTGTTCTTAAGACATTGGAAAACCATGAAGAGCATGATGGTTCCTCCTCTCACACACACCACCACCACTGCAGACAGACTGCGAACCCACAAAGCTAGGAATAAACCCGAGCCAGCCCATCACCACTGCAGACAGAGAGTGAACCCACAAGGCCAGGAATAAACCCAAGGCAACCCACCACCACTGCAGACAGAGAGCGAACCCACAAGGCCAGGAATAAACCCAAGGCAACCCACCACCACTGCAGACAGAGAGCAAACCCACAAAGCCAAGAATAAACCCAACCCACTGCCAGCGAGTTGATTCTGACTCATGGTGACCCCACTGGGTTTCTGAGGCAGTAAATCTTTATGGAGGAAGACTGCCCCATTTGCCTTCCACAGAGTGGATAGTGGGTTTGAACCGCCTACCTTCTGGTTAGTAGTCAAATGCCTTAGGCACTGTGCCACCAGAGCTCCTTTACTAACAGTAAAAACGAATATAAATTGTACATAGAGAGAGAAAAAAAAACAAAAGATTACTAGTGATTACCAGAGATAGGAGGAAGTGGGAGAGAGAAAGCCTTTGTTCGTGGGGCACTGAGTTTATGCTAATGGTGGTGGAATATTTTGGAAAAGGATAACAATTACGGTGGCACAACATGAAAAATGTCATCAACCATGGTTGCAGGGGACATCAAGCTCAACTGGCGTAACATACTACACAAAAACATTGTTATACATCCTACTTTGGCAAGTAGAAATGGGATCTTAAAAGCTGGAAAGCGGCTATCTAGATGCAACGGTGAGTCTCTCCTCATCCAGAGCAAATAATGAAGAAAAACAAAGATGCATAGTGTGGTATTTCAGTTTGTGTGTCAACTTGGCTGGGCCTGGTTGAGTGGCTGGGCAGCTGGATGAGACTGGTAATCAGCTCCATGGTGGAATCTACTATGAGCAGCTGAGTAGCTGCTTTAGGGATATGGTCTGCTTCCTGTATATAAGGAGAAGCCTTGGGGAATGGTCTCTAGCTTATGGCACACTTGAACCCTGCATGTAGCCATGTCATTGTTCAGCAGCCTGCCATGCTCTGCCGACCTTGGGACTTTCAACGGACTTGAATTAATGGTCTGCCGTGTGGTTTGGTAACATCAGAACTACGCCATTTTATTTGTTGACCTTGGGCTTGTCAGTCTCTGCAGATAGCAGCTGAGTGAAGAAAAGCCTCCAGCTTCAGTGGGCCAGGGGCAGGAGGCAGAGCTGAAGCCCAAGGTTGAGGGGCTTTCATCCAGCCCCTAGAGCCTGGCACTTTGAACTCAGACTTCTAGCCTCCCTAATTGTAAGACAATAAACTCCTATTTGTTCAGCCATCCCATCTGTGGTATATTCTTGTCAGAGCAGCACTAAGTAACCAGAACACATGGAAACAATTAGGTCAAGGGACTGGCACACCACACAATCCTCAGCTTATATGAGTATGAAACCAGAAGAACTAGATGGTTCTTAGCTACCTCTGTCAACCACTCAGAGGTGGATCTACATAGGATATCCTGGACAGAATGGGAGAACAATGTGGAACAAAACTCAAAATCATTTGATAAAGCCTGGTGGAACCCCTGACACTATGGCCCCTAGTTGCCCTTCTGGTCTGGAACTGAACCCACTCCTGCGGCTCCCAGCGAAACAAAAGACAGGCTACCTTATTAGGTAGATACACTCCTTGGAAAGATCAATCATGGGCGAATAGAAGGGCTGTGTATATACAGGGAGACAGTTTGGGCGGCAGTAGTGGATGGCAAGGAAGGACACAGGGAACAGGTAACTATGGGGAGATGTGGGAGGGGAGCTATTGCATTGTCGGAGATTGCAGTCAATGTCATAAGACAAAGTGTATGTGAACTGCTGCAGGGAAAATGAATTTGCTCTGTAAACTTTCACCCAAATCACAATAAAAATTAAAAAAGAAAAGAAAAATGTCATCAATATCCCTGAGCTGTAAATAGGGAAGTTGTTATGTTGGTGAATGTTATTGTTGTGTATGTTTTCACCACAATAAAAGTAAAACAAACAACAACAACAAAAGAAAAAAACAAAAAAACCAACCCTAATGCCTGGCACAGGGTCTGCAACATAGGATTGCTATTTGCCATACAGCTGGTTCCCACTCATGGTGACCTCGTGTCACTGGATAGTGTAAACAGTGACGTGACCAACCACTAGCCTGGAAAACCCTGTGGAGCATGTTCTGCTCTGCACACATGGGGTCACCATGATGGGACACAGGAAGTACTTGGTATATATTAAATGAACAAACTAAAACCAAAACCAAACTCACTGCCCTTGAGTTGACTCCAACTCATAGTGATCCACATAAGGTTTCCGAGCCTATACACGTTTACAGAAGTAGATCACCCCATCTTCCTTCTGTGGAGCGGCTGGTGGGTTTGAACTGCTGACCTTCTGGTTAGCAGCCAAATGCCTTATCCACTATGCCACCAGAGCTCCTTTAAACGAATAGAGGAATTATTTAATTAAAAAAAAAAAAAAGTATAAAGAGAAATGCATTTGTGGTTTACTTTTTCACTCAAACACAATTTTTAGGATCCAATGAAAAATTACAAGTTACCACATTCAATGAAATACTTCAGTATGACTGAATTCTTATGAAATGATTAGGTACAAATTTTTTTAAAATATGACTAAATGCTTAAAATCCATTAAACAATTCAGATATGTTTTAACCAAGCTAATGTTAAGGTCATTTACCTTCAGATTCACATTTCTTAAAAGAATATTAACTATATAAAAAGTATGGGTAAAATGTATATATAATAGAGATACTTATGTATGTACATATAATATGTTGTTGTTGTTGTTGTTGTTGTTAGGTGCCGTCGAGTCGGATCCGACTAATAGGGACCCCTCCTTGGGTTTCCAAGGCAGTATCACTATGGAAGTAGATTGCCCAACCTTCCTTCCGAGGAGTGGCTGGTGGGTTTGAACTGTCATCATATGTAATATAGATACTACATATTCTAAATAGATATATGTTACACACACACACACACACACACATACATATATATATATATATATATATATATATGGTATAGGAGCCCTGATGGCTCAACAGTTAAGCCTTGGCTGCTAACTAAAAAGTTGACAGTTCAAACCTACCAGCGTCTCCCTGGGAGAAGGGGCCTAGAGATCTGCTCCAAAAAAGCTTCCAACCTAAATTTACATTAATGGGGAGAAAAACTCAGAAAGGGAGGAGAAGAACAGTTATACAACTTACAATGCCACTAAATGGTATACACAGAAATTGCTGAATTGGTGTATGTTTTGCTGTGTATATTCTACAACAACAAAGTAAATAAAATTACATATTGAAAACAATATATATTACAGCCTAGGAAAACCTATGAGGCAGTTCTACTCTGTCATTTAGGGTTACTGTAAGTTGAAACAGACTTGACAACACCTAACAATGACATACACATTTATATGTACAACTAATAGGTTGATATATAAACTATATTAACACTTAAATAGACCTAACCTTTTGACTCAAATATCTATTGCATGCCCATTAGATTAAAAAAAATAATAATAACAAAATTGAACAATGTATTGCCTTCCAAGATATATTGTAAATTCTCAGGTAAGGAAGTTGAGACAAGGTTTATTTCTTAATTTTTATGTCTCTAAACTACATTTTGTCTTCCTCAAAATTTAGTGGTACTCAACACAAGAGTGCTTTGAAATGGGTAAGTAGAAAAGAATGTTTAAATCATAGAAATACATTAAGAAAAATCAGACTCTATATTTAAGCGATGGACACATACATTAGACCTTAGGGTCATTAGGCCCTGAAGTCCTTCAAAATAAAAAATACAGCAGTCCCACCTAGCCTTATAGTTCACTCACTATACTATAACTGTGCTGTGGCAGCTTATCCAAACAATAAAACCCAGAGTACATAAAAATAACAGATTTTAGGATCAGAAGGGACTTTTCAATAATACAATAATAATTCAGAACAAAGGCTTTGGAGTCAAAAGACTTATCTTTGAATCCCCAATCTACTACTCACTATTTGATGACTATGAACAAGTTATTTAAGTTCTCTAAGCCCCAGTTTCCCCAAATGTACAATGGGGATAATAATATCTGCTTGTAAGGGCTCAACAAAGGAGTAGCTGTTATCATGAGACACAGAATTTCAGTCATTTCAAACCATAAACCCTTTTGATAAATATAAAAAATTCCTTCTATTTTGTACCAAAAAATTAGATACCTTCTCAAATATAACTTTGAATGCAGTTTTCCAATTACTTGCCATCCTACCCAAATCCATGACTTCTCTCCTCCTAATCCCCTAAAACAGTGAGTGTCACTGATCTTGTTCATCTTCTCACATGAAAAAACTAAAGGACAACCAGAGTGGTTATGTGACTTGACAAATGTCATACAACTAATTAACAGTAAAGCCAAGACTGGACCCTGACTCTCAGTTCAGCGCTCCTGTCACCTCACTATGACATCTTAAAAACAGAATGCCACATATAATGTCACCTGAAGCATGTTTATTATTTTCAATCCACTTACTCATAGGCATGGGGAAAAACTGGACATGAAGGTATTTTTGGATTATTTACCTTTCTACATGCAGGACAAAGCCCATTTTCATCAGTGCGAATTCGATGCCAACAAAATCGGCAAATCTGGTAGCCACAGGTGCAAGGGAAAAAGTTGATGTCATCTATCTCCAAGGGCTCCATGCAAAGAGGGCATTCCACAGGGTCTTCCTTCGCATCTGGACTGCGAGACATCTTCACGTTTATTAAACAGCAGCAAAAGTTTATAATAATTTAAGGGAGAAGGAAGTTCAGCACTGACAGCTAAAACGTAGACTCTGAAGACCTGCATGAGAACAAAACATACTGTTTACCACTGGAGAAAGAACAGCATACTGAACAATCTAGAATCAAGTTACCAAAAATTTGAGAAAGTATTAATCTGAGCAATTTCTGCCATCATCTCAGAAGAGATTTCCAGTGGCACAGTGCCTACGGCATCTGACTGCTAACCAGAAGGCTGGTGGTTCAAACCCACCAGCCACTGCTTGGAAGGGAAGCTGGGCAATCTACTTCTGTAATGATACTCCCTCGGAAACACAAGGAGGGGTCGCTATGAGTTGGATACGACTCCATGGCAGTGGGTTTGGTATGGTTTTTATCAGCAAGTTACTTTCTTCAGAATTTCCTGCATGTCAAGGAGCCTGGCTCTGTAAATTTTTTGGATCCAGCAGAAAGATAAAAAAAACCAGACTTTTCATCTAGATAAAACATTTAGTGCTAACCTAATACTACTCAAAACGCACTGTGGGGGAAGAAAGGAGATCAGGAAGCATCTTCTGCCTTCAGACCCACTATGTACCCACTCCTCACTTACCAACCAGGTTAGGTTCCAAAGACCAGGTCGTTATGCAAAAATCTGAGTTATGAGAAAATGGAGGATGACCACATCAGATCACAAAACAGAAGGTGACCACATCATTACATAACTGCCACATCACTGTGAATCATGGCCCAGCCAAACTGACACATAACCTTAACCATCACAGCCAGCATTATACTCACTTTGCACCCAGGCATGCATTACTGCCAGATGTACATCATTAATGCGCAAAATAGCTTGATAATAGATTTTTTACTATTGTAGTGAATGTGAAATGTTGGATAATGAGATAGTCAATAAGTGAGGAGTAGGTCTATAAACTGCCTCATCTTTCACCTAAAAGATAATACTACTACTGTATAACTAAAGGAGTATTATTGTCTTCTTAAATGTCATAATTTACAAAACATACTTAATGAAAAAAAGAGGCTGCATTCATCTATAATCAGACATTTCCATCAAAGCCTTACAGAAAACACAGCCTAGAGCTGAAAAAGCACCAATACATATGCCATAGAACCTAACTTCTTATAATTAAATAAGCATTAATACGCCAGTGAGAAGTCTGGGAAAATAAACACAGAGTAAGGAAGGTAAAAGTACTCCTGTGGTAATGCTACAAAAGGCCCACAAGACAATAGGAAAGGAGAAGAGAACAAGCAGAGCACCATGCTCCCAGACACATTGTAAAAGTTAAATAATACACTTTTTTAGATTATGGAGAGTTTAAAACTTTTAGGTATAGGTTTAGGTTAAAAATCACTGTTAGGAGACAACAGAGCATCACAGTCCACACAAAGCAACAAGATAAAGCAGGAGAAACAAGGGACTAGGATACAGACCCAAAACACATCCCTGAGGAAGATGCAGCATTGAAACTCCCTGATAAGGAATTCTAAAGAATTATATTTAGGTATCTTCAAAGGATTGAGAGACAGACCAAGGAAAACACAGACAAAACACTAGAAGAATTATAGAATACAAGAACAAAATGACAAAATAAATGAAAAATTAGAAATGATTCTATATCTAGAGAGAGAAAACCAGAAGATTAATACTAAATTGTCAGAAATAAATAACACATTG